ACAGCAGATTTAAGTTGTATCCAGTGTTGTTGTATCTGCATTGTGGCAGACAGATCATTCAGTACATTGCCTACTGGTATGTGCAGACACTGGCAGAAAGAATGTACAGGTGCCACCAGGGTAACAGGCACAAACAGCAGAACAGAAGACTAGACTAGAATAGGGGGCAGCTAGTGTTACTTTCGTCAGACGAAACCAAACGAAAAATGTTCGTCAAGAACCTTTATGGAGTCTTTCCTGACTAAAACGAGTCGGCGACAATGTCCTCAAACACTGACTGTGACTATATTAACTTACTTATATTGTTGATGAAAAATTACAAGGCTAAATGGTAATTCATAAAATAAAAATGTTAATAAAATCTCTCCTTCTTTTTGTCAGTATGACGAAGAGACTAAATATTACAGGCCATTTTTCTCCTTGAAAACGTTACTGTACTGTGGAGGATGCGAATTTGAAAGTACAGAAAGAGTGTCTAATTATATCGGACTGCAAGCAATGTGGTTACAAGATTTGTTGAAAAAACACTACGAACTTGAAGCGGTATATCAAGGCTGACCACCTGGGAACTGAGGTACGATAACGTCTCCTTTGCAGTAAAAATGAGAACAAAGCTAACATTCAAATTTTACAAAACATTTCATCTATATGTGAGATGCTAATCAAAATTACACTACTGAGTTAGAAAAGACTAAAATGATGATTAATGACTAAAACTAAAATACTTTTGATTTTCTTGTATCCTGTGGACTAAATATGACAAAAACTAGGACTGAGACAAAATTTTAAAAAGGCTGATAAAATGAACACGAGGGGCAGCACAGAGGCCCCTGGTCGTGTGGCGTTAACATGATCTCCCCGTGTCTGCATGGGTTCTCTCCAGGTGCTCCAGCTTCCTCCCACCTCCAAAGACATGCAGGTAGGTCAACTGGTGACTTTAAATTGCTCTTTGGTGTGATTCTGAGTGTTTATGGCTGTCTCAGCCCTGTGATGAACTTACGACCTGTCCAGGCTGTACGCCCGCCTCTCGCCCAATATAAGCTGTGTTTGGCTCACAGCAGTTATGAGGAATAATGCTAATTCCTCAAGAGCATATTTTGCTTTCTTGCCAAGAGTTACATAAGATTAGTTGAGCTCACTGGGACAGGCGGAAAGAGCTACTCCGGCTCTGTCCAAATTCCAAAATCCACCTACCAGCACCTCTAAAGCCCACTAATTAACACGTTATATCTCGTCGTTTAAACCGTACAAGAACAAAAGTAAAAAGACAAACTGGCAATTTTCCAGGGACTATTTGTTTGCTCTGTCCATTAACTTCCGGGGGCTCAGCTGGTTGTCTGGCAAATGGTCGAGGCCAAGACTTAATCCAGCAAACAACTGCCATTATACACTTTTGTTAACTTGATAAACAATCTTAAAACAGGCAACCCTAAGGTTTTTTGTTTTTTCTCTCTTTATTTAAAAGGGACAGTGCACATTAATAAACATAAGGACAGTGCCCAAATGTAAATGAGCCAGATTTAGCCATACAGACTAATTTTCATCTGAAGTCCCTGGCAAGTTGATGTTATTAGAACATTAAAACATGGATAGAAGCCTTTCAGCTGAGACTAATCTTTAATGCTAGCAGATCACAATCAACCCATCCCACTCACATGGCATAACTTTGCCCTGTAAAGCTCTTGTGAAAGTATTGCAAGTTTTGACATGGGACAGTGGTCACAGGGAAATGGGAATGGAGCATTGCTGTGTGCACACTACACAGTATTTGGCAGTCTTACTCTGTGAAAGGCCCGTAGCCGAGTCCTCTCATATCTCTATAATCTGTCCACAGGGACATGTCTCCTCGGCTGGGGAACTTCTCATCGCTCCTCATGACTTCCTCCAGCAGCTTTGGAGTGTTCACAGACACTGACTTTAGCCCGTCTCTGTATATGGGCCCGTAACGCTGCTTCTCATAGATCTGAAGATAGGCAAAGTGACAGCGAGATAAGTGAGTTAACAGAGAAACCTGTGTGTAAGCAATGTCATAAGGAATGAGGTAAGAAGAAGAACTATAACAACTCGAACTGCTGCTCCGTAACGGCCATTAACATGTTCAAATCAACAAATTTGAATGTCCATCCCTCCCTAAAATGTACTGCGTTGTATGATTTAAAAACAAACATACTTATTGATCATTTATGAAGCTGATGACAAGATATCCCCGCTGTGAGCAAGTGAGAGCGGGACGGGGAAAGTGATCCTACAGAGAGGGCAAACATTCCTCTCAGTGAGAGTCAGCTGAGACTAGCTGTTGTTATCACAAGGGTTACTATGGGAACAAAGGTAATGTAATCAGCCTGACATTTTCTTTTACGCATTGTCACTGTGTCAAATGCAGTCAGTCATAACATAACATTGTCAGCAGGTCATATAGAAAGCATTCAACATGTAAATCTGTGTCATCCAGGGGCCGTGCAGAGCAGGGCACCGCAGCCTGGCGTACCTGTAGCTCATGCATACGCTTGTAGAAACCCTGAAACACAATTCTGTACATCAGCTCCAAGAAGCTGACATGCGGGAGTTCCTCCACTGTCCGAGGCTTGCCCTGGAAGGCAGAGAGGGTCCCCGGGGCAGAGGAGGAGCTTCCCACCCCCATAGAGCAGACCCGGGCCACGGCGGTGGGGCACTGCAGCAGCCAGCTGCCATTCTTCCACATCACACTTCGGGACAGCCGTGCAGCCATGATGACGGCAGAAAGCAAATACACCAGGATCCTGTTACATCTAGTAGACTAGCCGAGCAGGGAGGAGGCACGCCTCGCAGAACGTTTAACCCTTTCAGCACGGCTCTCTAGACTCAACCAGGACCAAGGGTCATAAAGGGTCATTCCACTCACTCATCTGTGGTGCATAACTAAGCCATTTTCAGTGTACTAGTTAATGTTCCTGATAAAAAACAAAGATGTAGATGTAGAGAATGATCGTATACATATTAGCTCTGTATCAGATAATATCACCTCAAATATAAAAGCTAAAACAAGAGATTCAACTACACAGTAAATTACTCAAAATTAAAGCCGTTTGCTTTTCGAGTCTAGAACAGACCAAATCAGCGCACATCTGGAAACAATCTGTTTTCTCTGGTATTCTCACGATTGCACAATGTTTGGGCTGGGCGCCAACTTCTTCTTGAATAGCACTTTGTAACTTTTGCCTTTAAAAGTGTTCTTTTAATAAAGTTTGTCTGCTTCAAATACAAACATGAGTCCCACAGTACATAGGAGGATTGTATAGGACTTCTCAAGTGGTCTTGTAGCCTACTACGTACTGTACTTGTGGGTTTTTGGCTCCAAATTAATGATAATAATTAGGAAAGGCTGTCTTTTCTGAAGAAACTTTATGTGAGGGAAATGTTGCAGTTGAAACATTTAACAGTTAATGTTCAGATGGCTGAACGAAGCTGAAATGAGCCCTAAACAATCCTGATCTAGGCAACGCTGCCTTTCCTGTTAGTGGAACAATTTGCAATGTTACCCAAAAATCAAAACACCTTCACCTCTCTGTCACATTAAGACCATCCTTATTAACCATTCTCTGTCTACCTATGATTGCTTTCACTGAGCCTGTACCATGTTTACTGTTTAGTTTTATGTATGTACAGTTGTGTTAAATATTTTTGGTAAAAATTATATTCCTACACGGCAAATAATTTACTAGTAGGTGTAGTGGAGTAATAGAAAACCAACAGACCCAACAGTCACGGATTGCATGCTGCTGATTCTGTTGAAAATAATAGCAGTGTGGAGTTTAATTAGTAATTAATTAGTGAGGTCGTAAAACAGGTGGCCCTCATTTAAGGATGAAGGCAGCAAATGTTGTACATGCTGGTTATGGTGCATTTCTCTGGGTCACTCAGACGTTGTTCAGAAGAACAGCCGCTCAGCTAAAATGATCAGCCATTGCTTTAAGATGGCAACCAAAACCAGAAAGACGGAAAACTACCTTTCAAATGGATCGAAGAACAGCCAGAATGGCAAAACTCAGCCAATGATCAGCTCGAGGGAGATCAGAGGGTCTTTCCTGTGAACACTGTAACGATTAGAAGATGCCTCTGCAAAGCCGAGCTATCGGTAAGAAGCCCCCCGCAAAGTCCCATGTTTGCTAAAACATGTTCTGAAGAGGTTTCAATTTGCCAAAGAAAGAGGCAAGATTGTTCTTTTTGGGTCTACGGGCCGCAGACAGTTTTGTCAGACAGCCCCCAAACACTGAATGCAAGCCGCAGTACACAGTCAAGACAGTGAAGTGCGGAGACGCAAACGTCATGATATGGGGATGTTTCTCATGTTACGGTGTCGGGCCTGTTTATCGCACATCAGAATGCATCAGACTACCTGAAGAGGTCATGTTGCCTGATGCCGAAGAGGAAATGTCCTTGAAATGGTTGTTTCAACAAGACAACGACCCCAAACGCACCAGTAAGCGAGCAGCATCTTGGTTCCAGACCATCAAGATTAACGTTATGGAGATATGAACATGTGGGGTGACATCAAAAATGCTGTTTCTGAGGCAAAACCAAGACATGCAGAGGAATTGTGAGATGTAGTCCAATGTAGTCCTGAGCTGGAATACCTGTTCACAGGTGCCAGAAGTTGGTCGACTCCATGCAACACAGATGTGAAGCAGATCAGTGATTCACAGGAAAGCTGAATCGTCAAGCATTTTCAGTTAATACAGTAAATGTTTGAGTTGCTGCTATTTGCTATTACACTGCTATTTTTCTGAAAACCTAATGTTCCTTTTTCCTCACTTTCTGTGAAGTAATGACAAATGTGATGATTTTTTTCTTCATGTTTTGATTTGGAATAAATGTGCAGTGCAATTTAAGAATTTGATCTAATGGTGAAAAATACAAATATTCTTATTTGTGTTTACTGACCACATAAACCATGAACAGCATCAGACAACACTAATCAATCAATGCACATCGGTCTTATTAATACCATAACTTCAACTGGAAAGGTTTCTTATGTTTCTCTTTATTCAGTTATCTCCACACCTTCATTCTTTTAGTTGAGCAACATTGTCAATAGATCCTGCAGGGTCCGTTTTGTGCAGCAGAAGTGTCCTTGCACCTGCGCAGCGCTGATCTCAGTGTAGGTGGCCAACGCACGCTCCGCAAACCGCTCTCCTTCTGAGGCAGGCTCGTCTGGGTAGAACCGCCGGAACATCTGCGTAAGCTGCCAGTGAGTGCAATGCCCGATGTACTGCTTCAGATCAACACGGCCAGGTCGGATCAGTGCCGCGTCTAACCTGCGTGCAGAGATTACAAGCAAGAACGGCAGTTCATGTCACTGAAGATACTCGACCTCAGCAGTGAAGTGACCAAAAACACATTAACATAACTTTATTTTTTAGAGCTGTTAGCTCAGTTGCTAGAGCACATGCCCAGTATACTAGTCCTTATCACAGCCGCCCGGGTTCACTGTTGTGTATCTGCACATCTAGCAGAAACAGAGTCACATCAGCATTCACTAACTTTGTCTGTTGGCAGGTAGAGTACTTTCGATTTCTCAGGGTTTTTACAAATAAACAGGTTTCATAAGAGCGGTGTTTGCAGGGTGGAAAACAAAAAACAAGGTCCAAAACAAACGCTCCATAGAGATGAGGTGAACTGCAAAGTCGGGTGATATTTCTCTGAGTTCATCACTACGAAGTGACATCTTCATTTACTTCATTGTTAATAGAAAAATATGTATCGGTGCAGCTTTAAGTTTTCCTTTGTTTTGTTTATAGTCACTGTAGAATTTTCTTTTTGGTTTCAGTGTTTTAAATAATTTACAAAGGTCTACATGATGGGTAAAAATTACCTATGAGCAGCTTTGTAAAAGGTTCATTAACCAACTAGAGTTTAGCTGCTGAACTTCTGTGACGTTGCTGAGGGGTCTTTGTGGACTTCTTGCAGAAGCAGGACTCTCTAGGAACCTCACGATTTGATCAGGATTCAGAGATCTCCGATACATTCATACAACGATTATCAATGCATCCTTATGCTTCAAACTTTTTTCTTTCTATCCATGATACATGTTTTTCTCACTGAGCGACTACTAAAACAGCACGTATTTGTAATGATCCATAATTAAAGCAGATGAAAATACATTATTTTATCTTTAGGTCAGTTAGACGACTTGCACTAAAGGTGTAAATGAAGAACTTTTTTTAACTTTGAAAATGTGGGCTCAATCGCCATAATTCTTACTATACAAGTTAAGGCACTCAAATAAAAGCATAATGGCCATAAGAAAAAATAAATCAGTAATACTCCATCGTAAGACCTGTTGATACTTCCTGATCTGCAGCTTCCACTCACTCATACCGGGTTCAATTTTCAGTTATTAAAAGAGATAATCACCATGCATCCATGAATTTGTTTTTTCCTCCACCCCAGATGTCTGGACTTTTCTAAGCATCATGGTCACTGAGATTTACAACATAAAATAAAAGCCTACGGTTTGCATTTAAAGTTATTTTCTCTGCTATTTGACTTACTTTTTCAGTCGAACATTGTTTTCCCTTTTGTGCTTGTACAACAACACGTATCGTACACTGAACAAAATTATAAACCCTTTTGTTTTTGCCCCCATTCATCATGGGCTGAACTCAAAGAGCTTTCTCTTTGAACACAAAAGGCCTGTTTCTCTGAAATATTGTGGCTGGCCACAATAAAAGGCCACTTCAAAATGTGCAGTTCCATCACACAGCACAACGCCACAGATATCGCAAGTTTTGAGGGAGCGTGCAGTGGGCATGCTGACTGCACGCTCTTCTGTTGCCCGTGAATTGAATGACATAAGCCGTCTCCAAAGGCGTTTCAGAGAATTTGGCAGTACATCCAACCGGCCTCACAACTGCAGACCACGTGTAACCACACCAGTCCAGGACCTCCACATCCAGCATCTTCACCTTCAAGATCGTCTGAGACCAGCCACCCGGACAGCTGCTGCAACAATCGGTTTGCATAACCAAAGAATTTCTGCAGAAACTGTCTGGAACGTCTCGGGGAAGCTTATCTGCATGCTCCTCATCCTCATCGGGGTCTCGACCTGACTGCAACTTCACACAGCCATTGAAGAGGAGTGGACCAACACTCCACAGACCGCAATCAATAACCTGATCAACTCGATGTGAAGGAGATGTGTTTTACTGCGTGAGGCAAATGGTGGTCACCAGATACTGACTGGATTCCAGACCCCCCCAATACAGAGAAACTGCACATTTTGGAGTGGCCTTTTATTGTGGCCAGCCTAAGGCACACCTGTACAATACCCATGCTGTCTGATCAGCATCTTGATATGCCACACCTGTGAGGTGGATGGATTATCTGGGCAAAGGAGAAGTGCTCACTAACACAGATTTTGACAGATTTGTGAACAATATTTGAGAGAAATAGGCCTTTTGTGTACATAGAGAAAGTCTTGGATCTTTGAGTTCAGCTCATGATGAATGGGGGAATGTTGTGTTTACAAATCCTCTTCCAACGGTACCTGTCAATGAAGTTGGTGGTCATAAAAACTATTCTGGCCTCAGATGAAGCCACTCCGTCCAGAGAATTAAGCAAGCCACTAAAAGTCAGTCTTCCCATTCCCTGGTAGGCCAGAGGTTCTGCGAGGCAAGAGAAAAGGGATTTGAAAGTCACCCTCAAAACAGAGTAAAACACAAAGTTATAGTCAGTCTGAACAACCACAGCTTTACAAGTAACCACCGTAACAACCTCTTGACAAAACCACTGATCCTTCCCTGCCACTTACTGTCTGTGGGAAGCAGGTCTCGGCTGACAAAGGCTGCATCTACGTCCTCCAACAGTATGATGCTTTGCTGCGGAGCCACGCTCAGGAGGTGGTTCAGACGGTCATCTGAAAGGGTTTGGTCACTCAGACTCATCAGACAGATGCTGTAGCCCAACTCGCCCGCCAGCGCCGTGCTGAAATACATTGAGTCACAAAGACGCAGGTGAAATTGCGCACAAGTACTTGACATGTCTTTCTATCACACAGGAAGTGCAGGAATTCCAAAGCACACTCACATAAAGCTGCTTTTTCCACACCCTGGAGGACCATACAGCAGATATCCTCTTCTGTATGGGATTCCTGAATAGACACAGAAAACATTTTCACAGAATAAGTGCAAAAGACTATTTAAGACTACATATTGTTTATCAGGAACATTCCCGCTTTTTTGGTACTACAAATCGTACATCCTGCATTTCCCAAGCACGCTACCATTTCCTACATTAGTAGTAGTATAAAATCAGCCTCCATCTGTGTTTAATCTCTATGTTTTTCTTAACTTTAAAAAGGTACGTTACTGACACCTGGTACTGCAGTTGTGAGCAGGAGCTGCTTTAAAAAGGTTCGCAGAATTGGTGCATTCAAGTGTGTGTGGGGAAACTGCACTTGCGGAAGACTCCAAAACATTTGTAGAACTGCCTCTCTGAATTCAAAGTTTCACTGAACGCACCAACAGGTAAGACTTTTAACCAGCATGATAGGAAAACATGAACTTTATAACCAGGTAATATCAAAAACACAACTTCCATATACACTGAATGAACGAGTCTGAGCCCTCCACCTCTGTCTGTGTACCACTTGGGGTTTCCAATGAACTCCTTCACATCTTCCACGATCTTTTCACCCACGCCCGCCTCCAGGACCACAGAGCTGAGGGGTCTGCGTCGCCGGGGAAACCCAAAGGGCCTCCACTCCGCCCCCATGGCTGTGTACATCACCGTCCGCCCCTCTTCCTGCTTCATAGCCAATTCTCTTGCTGCAAAACATGATTGACATGTGCGCTAAATGACCTCTAAATGCACTGAAGCGCTCTTTTAGCAAGCCTCCGTGAGATCTGCGTGTGTCAGATACATACTGAAGACCTGTGAAAACATTTACCTTCTTGTAAGATGTTAAAGAAAATTTGTCTGTCTCTGCCTAAAGCGGTGAAGGTCACAGACTCCCACGGGGTCCCGGTGTGCAGATCCACCATTTGCTTCTCTCTGGTCCTCTCCACCCTGATCCACTTCCTCCCATACCTGCAAGTGTCAGAGGTCAAACTGTTAAATAAATGTTATCTCTGCTTAAGTGTATCGGTGGCAGGCTGAACTATATTTAAAGAACTCCGCTGACCAGATGATGTGGTTCCCAGGGCTTGGGTGGAAGTCAAACTGCGTGTGAACCCTTCCACTCTCGTGTGCCAGGTAGGAGGTCTCCACGCTCAGGTGCTGAGTGTGCCTGGCATGCTTGGTGATCCAGCTCAGCAGCCAGTGGTAGCTCTTATCCCTGCTGGGGACCTCCAGAGTGATCATGTAGTTCCTGCGGAAGAAGACCATTCCCACCTGGGCGCCTTTCCTGGCCACTGCCAGCGCTGTCCCAACCCCGACCAGTCCAAACCCAGCCCCGAAGTATGGGTTGTCCTTCAGGCTGTCCAGGAAGTCCGACAGGGGCATGTTGCTGATCACCGCACACCCTCCCCAAAGGAATCAGACTATATGGATGGTCTAGCACTTTGTAGACACAGACCTACACATAAAAATGTGCAGATTGATCCGTCAGCAGCTGAAGACCTGCTGCCCAGCTGAAGACCTGCTGCCCAGCTGGGAATCCTGCAACCTAACAACAGTTTCTAATGACACATCCGGTCATGTTTAATAATGAGCTTCGTGTCCTCATCCTGTACCGCTACCTTGTGTTCCCAGTGTGTGTGTTTGTGTTTGTGTGTGTGCACCGTTAGCGTGTAAACATCAACTCAAACGCGTGGTCTGTATCTGGATGTTGCGCAGTAGCGACCTCTACCACACTTCCTGTGTTCGACAAATATCATTCCGACGCTTCTCCTGCCAACCAACATTCGTTCCTCTTATATTTAACATATTTTTACTCGCAGGCTAAGATGACAACTTCCTCAAATTAATATACGTATATATATATATATATATACTGTGGCGGATAAAGTAGTTTTTGCAATTTACTTCAGACGTACGGACAGCAACCGAGGCAGTAATTGCTAGCAGGAAGTGAGACTCCGTGCGACCACAATGAAGAAGCTAACGTTAGCTTAGCTGGGTTAGCGTTCACAGCGACGTCGTTAGCGCGTTGATACCGGTTTCTATTTTCATAAAACGTAAGTTAAACTTCGGCTACTATTAATTAGAAGACTACCCTAAATTATAGTAAACAGTAAAAGCTGTAAATATGGATGTTACGAGCAGGATGCTGGTCAACTGATAACTGTTGATGTTGTGTTTTTCAGATAGAATGGACCTCGGAAACGCAGGCGGTAGGTTGAACTTATGTTTATAACCTTACTGTACAGATGCGTGATGCAGTGAAAGGTTCGTGAGAGAGGTTAAATTGAGCCTCCTGACATCCAAATCTCTGCTTAAGGAGTGAGGTGAATGAACAGTGGAGCACGGTGGATGTTTCTTGCAAGTTTGGGACTGCATTCCTGCAAACAGAGTTGGGGATTTGGTCAGAATTAATGGTCTCCTCGATGCTGAGAAGTACAGGCAGACCCCCAAACACACAGTAAACTATCTTCAGCAGAGGAACAAGGAGTCCTGGAAGTGATGGAAATGTCTATTTTTGAGAGCATTCTTACTTTTCCTACATCTGAAACCCTAAGACTTTTGCACAGTACTCTATGTATTTATAGGCATATCATGATCATATGGTTACAGTGCATCTACATTTCTTGCAGGACTGTTATTAAGGAGCTGAATCAATCAAAATCATCTTAAAATTGGCAACGACGCCACAAAAAGTGAAATGAAAAGTGAAGCAGGGTGACGATGGAGCAGTGGATAAGACACATGCATTTGGTGCGAGAGAACCGGGTGCATTTCCCCACTGTGACACGTCCACTTATGTGTCCCCGAGCAAGACACTTTACCCCTCGTTGCTCCGGAGGCGTGCGACCTCTGACATATATAGCAATTGTAAGTCGCTTTGGATTAAATGCGTCAGCTAAATGAGTGAATGTAATGAACAACAACTTATATTGTACAATGTAATGTACATCAGAATAATGTTAAATCATGAGCAAATGTTGTGATTACTGTCATGGAAATTGTATCTTGCTGTTGAGGGATTATGCAAATAATTGAGTTAACAACCAACCGTTGTCTTTGAAGAGTTTATTAACAAAAGAGAATAAACAGAGAAGTACTAAAACACAAATACAGCTGGTCCAGAGACCTGTCGCCCAGGGCGGCTTCGGGCGTCTGGCCCCGAGCAAAGGGAGGCATCATCATTTACACAGTCTAGGTTTCTATGTTTTGGGGAGCAGAGATCCTCTCCAGACCTTGAATGAACATTCGAGGCCTGAAGAGGAACAACAAGAGAGGAAAACACCAAAACAATCTCACAGCTCTGACCTAAACCCCAGTAAATGTGGACTAAGATAAGGAGTATAGAAGAAGGAAAGGTGAAAGATAAAAACACAATACATATACTGTATATCTATAAGACATAACAATAATAGTAATAATAGTAAAAGAACATGCATAAAAGATTAAATGTAAGAGGACACACTCTGCTCATTTTTTAAATGGAGACCGAGGAACCTCATCAGTGTGAAAAATGTGGACAGAGTTTCTCAGACGCTGGCTTGTTTGCCTGTCAGCCCTGTTCAGAACGGCTGACCACCCCATCCACCAAAAAACAGATGGGGAACTACAAGTGTTCTCAATGCAGTGAGGTTTTTTCCGAGCCTGGGGTCCTGAGTCACCACACAGTGGACATGACCTGGAGGGCCCGGTCCCCTGCACTGAGCAAAGCTGCCAGTTCAGCAGCACAGACAGTCAGGGATATCAAGCACACCTGATGTCCACACACGGTCTCACTCTAATTCTCTGCAGCCTTCAGTCCTGCAAAGTGTCACTCCTCACACAGGGCGGCATGCAGAGAAACTTGCAGGGCCCTTCAGGGGCTTTCATTGTCAGTTTGTCACTCAAAATGTAAAAGACCTGAGTGACCACGTCTTGGAGCACGACCGTATGCCTTCATGTGCTCAGGGTAAACAGACACTGCAAGGAGGTGGCGTTGCGTTACACAAACCCGGAAATCTTCTCTGTCTTAAAACTGTTTTCAAAAAAAGCATCGTAAGTAGATTTTACATTAAAAGATCGTCACATCTGTTCACAGGGGCCGAAAATGCAGCCACAACTGTGTGCACTGACGGGAGCCATCACCCTCGGGGGTCCAGCAGGCCAAAGAGGAAACTGAAATCCAACTCCGCTCATGCATCATCAGTACCAGAAGACCTGGACGAAGAGCCTGAGAGGCAAAGGCACAATTCTAAAAGAGTGAAAAGAGACAAACCTTCAGCAGTGGACGCTGCTGCACTGCCATCGAAAGGTGCGTGCACCGATCTGCTTGGTAGATTATAGTGCGTCAAGTTTAATTAAAATAATAAAGAACAAAAAGTTGTTCCTGTAATATTAAAACATACAAGTGGCTTGTAAGTGGAGGAAAAAATCACATAATTCAATATCAATAATTATCACAATAAATGTCAAATCATTAGTTCAAGGGTTGATTTTTTTTTTTTTGCCTTTGCTTTGTGGTTTTAAACTTCTTCATGTTCAGAACAAACACTTGATGCCAAACAGTGGATTATTTAACAAATCCGAGGCAGAACATTTATAACAGTTATGATCAAATCTTTTTTCAGTCCCCTTTTCTCAACAAAACAAACATCTTTGAACAATTGTTATGTTGTTGAAACCCCAGTGTGTTGAAACGCAGCAGCGCGTCTGGTTTTTGATCAGCCCAAAAGGACTCATGTCACTACATTACTCAGTGACCTCCACTGGCTCCCCGGGGCCTCCAGAATCAAATTCAAGTCACTAATGCTGCACACAGAGGGACTACTGGGTCTGCACCATCTACCTACACTCCATAATACAAACTTACGTTCCTTCTACGCTCCTCCAACGAACGCCGCCTGGCTCTGCCATCCCTTCACACAAAGCAATCTCAGTCCCTGTTCTCATCTGTGACACCACGATGGTGGAACGAGCTGCCACACGCCATCAGAGCAGGGGCGTCCCTCTCTAACTTCAAGAAGCTCCTGAAAACTCTGCAGAGAACACTTCCTCTGATAACACCTCTAACATGCACTTCCTGTGCTGCTCTTCTTCTTCTGTCCCCTACAATTATCTTGTATTGATTGCACTTTTTTGTTAACTCTCACTTCTTTCCCAAGGTGTTTACTCCATTGATGCGATACGTGCTATCAGCTCTTACTAGTATTTATTGCTACTCCTATTAATATGTATTGTCAGTTGTGGATCTGTAGTTGATGCTCTGTTGATGCTTGTATGTTGTTCCTTAAATGTAAGTCGCTTTGGATAAAAGCGTCTGCCAAATGAGTAAAAGTAAATTTTGTTATTGAGGAAAAACCTGTCGCGCCAGGATCGACCAGGAGAAAACAGTGAAACAGTGAAACAACGTATTTTATTCTTCCTTAAATATTAGTGTCAATGGATCATAGACTTTCTTTTATCACAAACTTTGTCACTATGTTCAAAATGTATTTTATGTTTCTCTCCGCCAGAGTACCTTGCAGAGGGATCAGAGCACATCTTTCGCACCCACACCTGCCCCAAGTGTCGGCGCTGCTTCAAGATGCGCTCCCACCTGCAGGAGCACCTCCATCTACATTTTCCTGACCCCAGCCTCCAGTGTCCCACCTGCAAGCGTTACTTCACCAGCAAGAGCAAGCTACGCATACACAGACTCCGTGAGGCGGGGGAAAAGGCTCACCATTGCCACCTGTGTGAGTATTCGGCCGTCGAGCGGAATGCAGTCCGCCGCCACCTTGTTAGCGTGCACGCCGATGAGGCAGAAGACGGCGTTAACAGTCACAGCTATCCTTGCCCCGCCTGTGGCCAAAGCTTTCGCCAGAGCAGGTCGCTTAAGGCTCACATGAAGACGCACAACATCCTGTCCGACAGCAAGCCGGTGGCCTGCTTCCAGGAGGGCTGTTCATTCCGGAGCTCTCTGCGCAAAGAACTTCTCAAACACGCTGCCGAAGAGCACGGGGTCAGGGCTGTGGAATGCCGTCATCACGCCTGTGGCGCCGTCTTTCAATGCGAGACGGACATGGAGGCTCATTATCGGACACACCTCGCCTACCACTGCTCCCGCTGTGATTTTTCCTGCTCCAATAAGAGCGTCTTCCTCCAGCACCGGCGGCACGGTCACCCAGGAAACGACGAGCTCGGCTGTGACTTCTGCTCCTTCGTCACATTTAACCCCGTGGAGTTTGAGCAGCACATCGGACACCTGCACGCCAACGAGAAGATCCACCGCTGCTCTCAGTGCAGCTACGTGACGCCGCATAAGCGTGGCTTGAAGCGACACATGCTGATGCACAGCGGTGAGGAGGGAATAGATGTTTAATGTTCTCGGGGTCATCTCATCTGGTTGTGGCACGACGTCTCCTGATTGCTTCTTTCTTTCTGTAACAGGTGAGAAGCCCCACAAGTGTAGCCTGTGTGACTTCAGGTGCCGCGATGAGTCCTACCTCTCTAAGCATATGCTCACTCACTCCGACGACAAGAACTTTATGTGCGCTGAATGTGGATACGTCACGAAATGGAAACACTATCTGAATGTCCATATGAGGAAACATGCTGGAGACCTCAGGTAGATACTGCAGACATGTCTCATACAACTGTTGGTTAGGTTTCTGTCTGTTTTAGCTTAAAGCTCCCGTTTCCCCTTATTTAGCCTGATTAGAGGTGTCTCATGGAAAGGAGTGAACAAAC